AAGGAACAGAAGCACTGTCCAAAGACCAAAGCTGGGGTCCTTTATGTATTATTTATGAGTTTATGTACTTACTTATATATTGGTTTTGTGAGACAGGGTCTCTAACTGTGGAGCCCAAGCTGGCCTGGAGCCTGTGACCACCCACCTTTGTCACTCAAGTGCTGAGGTTACAGGCATGACACTATGCTCAGCTTGAACAGAACCCTTTAAATATGGAACAGGTTGTATAGACCATGAATAAATCAGAAGTTGTATCACTTAGCCATTTATAAGGGAGTTGGCATAAATTCATGTCACAAAAACCAAGCAAAACTAAAACTGCAGTCTTCACTTTTGATATTGGAGGTACTCTGTCAAACCGCATTGAATGACAGGAAAATGAGGCAAAAGGGGGGCTTTGATAATATTTAAGCATCTTCAGTAATGGGCAAAGGAACATTTGGAAAACAAAGCGCACTGAGCTGGTTATGGTGGCTCACTGCCACAATCCCAGCACTCATGGCTGAGATATCTGAACACTATGAGTTTAGGCCAATTTGGGCTACATTGTAAGTTCCAGGCTACCTTGTGCTATATAGTGAGTCCCTATTTTTCAACAAAATAAAATAAAACTGGAGTGGATTGAATGTGTCACAGGCTTGGTTTCATGTTCAACAGACCCCCAGAGCTGTGGGTTGGAGACCTTACTCAGGGCCAAGAGACTATCTAACTGTTTCCATTGGAGTGCCTAAAAAAAGCCTGCTTGAGGAGGCAGCCTCCAGGCCAAAGCAAGAGGCCAAGTGCGGGGGCCCCTCATGGTCACTCTGGTTAGTGTTCTCTTTCTGCCCTTCAAGTGGGCGATTAGGAAGCCAAACTTAATGACCTGTTAGAGATGGAGATCATAGCACCAGCTGTTCCCAGAAGCTGCTGCTGACATCACCTTGACAAGAGCCCCCAGCTCAGGGGTCACTTGAGCGCTTTCAGAACGGGAGTGCTGGCCATGACACAAGGTGTAAAGTTGCTTTCTTTCCTCTTGGTTCTCCAGCTAGACTCCTGACTCTTTGCTTATCACCCGTTTGAAATTGTTACTTTGTTCAGGTGCCTGGAGACTTGGACAGGACTACTGAAACAGTAGCATTCCTTAAGCACTAACCAGGCTTTGGTGACAATTACAATTCAGCCACTGCGGGCCCATTTGCAATCAGCAGCACAAGGTGGACCCACGCTCTGAGGATGGTGCATCTACTTCCAAGGTTGACTTCTTTTTTGTTCATCCTTCTCTCATCTTGTGTTCACAGTGACCTGCCCCACTGTCTGCTTTTTAGCACGGTCTCCGCCCTTGAAAACTGAATCGGAGAAGGCTTTCAAGGTTTCTTTTCAAACACCTGGAAGTATTTGGCTCCCTTGGGGGCAGATGCAGTAGAAGGATTCCAGTAGAAATTACATTTGTGTTGTAAAGTCTACCAAGACTCAGGAAATACACACCTGGGAAGGTGGATCAGTCCCGAGATGATACAAGCTAATCACATTTATTACCTACAAATGTGGCCTGTGGGAGCTGTAGAACATTCTAGCCAAATTTGCCCCGGCCACCTGATGTTTGGTCATTTGCCTGTGTGTGAGGTAGGCTTGCTCTCCTAAGGTGTTGATGGGGTCATCTTCTTGCCTGGGAGGGGTAGAAGAAAGCTGACTCAAACCCACCCTTCTTTGCTACATGGGTGGCCTTAAGCAAATCACTTAGATCTTAAATTTTTATGTGATTTATTATGCAAGTTATTATATGTCTCTCTGTGTGACGTGTGTGTGTTTGTTTGTGTGTGTGTGTGTGTGTGTGTGTGTGTGTGTGTGTGTGTATGTGTGGGTGTGTGTGTGTGTGTGCGCGAGAGCGCGCGCACGCTCCAGCACACATGCATGGAGTCAGAGGACAGCTTTCAGGAGTTGGTTCTCTCCAACCATGTGGGTTCTGGGATTGAATTTAGGTTCTCTGGCTGGCAGAGTAAGTGACTTTATTTACTGGGCCATCTCCCCAGCCCTTACTTAGCTTCTTAGCATCTCAGTAACTTGGTTTGCAAAGAGGCATATTCACCCTCCACATCTTGTTAAAAGAAACTGATGGCCATGTCCACATGCTCCAGCTTTTATGTGGGACATCCCTCACAGGATCATGTATTTGATGGTGATACTGTTCTGAGTGGCTGTGTAAGCTTTTTGTGGTGGGGCCTCTCTGGAGGAGGTGAGTCACAGGAGCTTTATAACTCCCCCTTCTATCCTGTTTCCTGTCTACTTTCTGCTTTCCAGTCCAGAGAAACATGATGGAGTGAGGAATCTCAGCTCACACTCCTGCCACAGGTGACCGTGGATGCTGGGAACTGAACTCAGCTCCTATGAAAAATCTGCATTTCTGAGCTATCTTTCCAGCCCCATCAGTGGCTCCTTGTGTGTTTGGTTACAGCTGTGAGAAGAGAGTGATTCACCACACAAAACATGAGCTCAGCTCCAGACACACGCTAAGGACTCAACTCACAAGCCTTGATTTCCATCTTACCACCAGGTTCTATATCATGAAGGCCTTGAAGGCAACCTATTTTCTTTGATTATTAAATACAACATTCAGAAGGAAGTGAGAGGGGGAGGGAGGTTGGGGTGGAAATTATCAAGATACATTATTATGCATTTGAAATTGTTAAAGATAAATAAAATATATTAAAAAATGAATATATCCTTCAAAACAAAGCATATAGATCTATGATGACTTTTGAAAAAACTTATTTTTGTAACATTTGTCACAAGTTCCAGCCATTTATTTTTGGTACAATGATCTGTCTCTTGTCTGTTTTCTCTTCAGATAGGTGATCTTGTGGAGAGGAGGGCGGGTGCTTGCCTTTCTCACAGATGTCCTGGCCCTTCCTACCCCTGGCATAGAGGTTGGATAAGTAAACATTTGAAAACCCAGATTTTCTTAGGATGGGGGAAATGAAGAGTCATAGGGAGGACAATGCTTGGCAAACAAAAACTTGATGCTGGAGGACTCAGCTGCTCCATAGAAATAGAAATGCTATTTCTCAGCATTTTCTGTGGTGTGGTCTTCAACAGAGTGTTGATATCAGAAGTGAGATTCAGGCCAAGTTAAATAAACAAATAAATGCATAAATAAATAAACAAATAAATATGAAAAAGTAAAATCATGAAATGGAAAACATCTTATAAAGTCTTTGGACAAATTAATTACATTCCTTGCTTGTCATCCTCATCTCTGCCGTGTTTCTGCTAGGCTTATAGCTCAGCTGAATTCTCTCTCATGGCAGGCATTGGAGTTAGCTGTTCCTTTTATCTTGCCTGCTTCCCTCATAGGCTCTCCTTTGCCTGCCTGCCTCCTGTTTATTCTCTGGCTCTCAGCCTGGCAGCCACTCTCTATACCACACAAACTTGGGCTCCATTTGTGTGCTTCTGAGTGGCAGGTTTCACTATCTATAATAAAAAGTTGCAGCCAGGTGTGTGGTGGTAGTGCACACCTTTGATCCCAGCACTTGAGAGGCAGAGGCAGAGGCAGAGGCAGGCAGACCTCAGTGAGTTCAAAGCCAGTTTGGTCTACAAAGTGAGTTCCAAGACAGCCAGGACTGTTACACAAAGAAAAACCCTGTCTCAAAAAAAAAAAAAAAAATTGCTCTCTAGGGGAATGGAGAGATGACTCAGCAGTTAAGAGCACTGGTTGTTCTTCCAGGGATTCTGAGTTCAATTCCCAGCACCCACATGTCAACTCACAACTGTCTATAATGGAATCTGATGCCATGCAGATGTATACATGTAGACAAAACTCTCATATATAGTAAATAAATAAATATTTTTAAAAGGAAAGATATTAAAAAAGAGTAGCATATTACACATCTTCCTTATGTATTGAGTTTTTCTCAAAATGTGAGTTCCTAAAACCAATAAATTTGTTGTAGCTGATATGGCCAGAGCCTGCTTGAAACAAGCTCTGAGAGAGTGTTTGGGGGCCACTGAAATGGATCAGCAAGTAAAGGTGCTTGTCACCAAGCCTAATGACCTGAGTTTGACCCCTGGGATCCACATAGTAGAAGGAGAGAACTGACTCCAGCAAGTTGTCCTCTGACCTCTACTCAAGTGGTGTGTGCATTCATACATATTTGTGTGGACACAAACACACACTGAATAAATAAACAAGTGTAAAGAAGAATTTGTGGACTGGAGTGTAGAATAGGAAGCCAAAGTCCTATGGAAACATGCCCCTCCCCCCATTGCTCACTTTTATTATGGTCAAGGCAGCTTAAACCACCCACTTAATGAAATATACCCATATGTGTCACACATGCAAGTTCTAAATAAGCTACTTGAAACTTTGTGAAAAAAACCGAAAGATAATCAAAGGCAGTAGACTTTTGCAATTCCATTTGCAAAATAAACCAAGGATGACTCCTCCCTGTAGTGTGGGCCATAATAAACAAGATGAACAGATTGGCTAGAATCTGGAGTTCCTTATTCCCACCTTGAGCAGGATTTCACACCTCCATCACTCCAGTGGGTTGTCAGCAAACCTAAGCCTTTCTTTGGCTTCAGCACAGGCTGAGTGGTCCAGCATCCTTGCATCAGGCCTAGCAAAGGTTAGTTAGGAGCCTGTCTTTGAGATGAAGGCTGAGAACTTCCAAGACTTCTGGGAAGGAAGCAACAAGAACAATCCCTCACTGTGTTCTGCTGAGACAAATCATCCTAAATGGGGGAGGGGAGACCCCAGTCTCTGATAAATCACATTTCTGTATGAAGCCACATTGGTGTGACACAAATAATTAGCTGTCCGGTGCTGGTCTTTGCTGTCAGAGGCCAATTTTGAGATTAGTGTTAATTGCAGGGGGCCTTAATGGCCTTTGCTCTCAGCCCAGCAGCACCCAGCAAGCTGCCCTCCCCAGTCTGCTGCCAGTTTTATTTCAGCTTCCACGACTGGAGCTGGCAGAGTGGAATCAGTTGTGGGCCAGTGAGGATTTTCCCACAGGTCTCACTTGGAGATGAACAGCTATTCCTGCTGCCCAGACAGCTGGCCAGACCGTCCACTGGGAAAGGAGCCTGCGGAGGGGAGTGCGGGCCTTGTCAGCAACACGGCTGACAGCCCATCCGTTATCCACAGGGCTTGGCAGAGAGTGGCCCAGCCACCTCTGCCTGTCCCTGCACTGCCTGGGTTTGGCGCCTACCCCGGCTACTATTTCATCCCAACATCCAGTGGACCAAATGAAAGAACAGAGAAAAATCAAATCCACTCTTCCTTTAGGGTCAAGAGGAAACAGAGAAGGTAAAGAGGATTGTATGAACACAGCCTGGTACCAACGTTTGGCAGTAAGTTAGGTGCAAGTTTTGTATGTTGAACTATTTTCAGACTTCTGCTTTGTGTCATTTTTGCATCTGTTCCCCATATAGCTTTAACAGGATTACAAAAAGTAAGTAATTCCTAAATGGTAATGTACCAAAGCCCATTTACCAAGGACACTAGACATACCTAAGAAATTTTAGTTTCTGAAGGATGAATTAACTATTCCATTTTCCATGACAAAGGCATTTTAAAATGGCAATAAAAGCACACTGATGTACGGAGATGTGACTCAGTTGATAGAATGCCTGCCTGGTGGGATCAGAAGTTCTAAGTCATCTCTATTACACCTCAAGTTCCTGTGCAGACCGGTAATACAGACAGACAGACAGACAGAGAGAGAGAGAGAGAGAGAGAGAGAGAGAGAGAGAGAGGGAGACTAAAGTAATGATGTAAACACCAGTACCACACTATGAAACGTAAAAGATAAATGGATAAAAATGTACCTAATGTTTATGACTTCCCTTTGTTTTATTCTTTTAGGAAACTGGCATTAAGGCTTTTGATCCTGGGTCTCATGTAGGCCCATGCTAGTCTCAAATTCAGTATGTAGCTAAAGATAAACTTGATTCTGATCTTCCTACATCCACCTCCCCAGTCCTGGAATTACAAGCAACACCCAGTTTGTACGAGGATGGGAACTGAACCCTCAAGCAAACCAAGGGAACACCACAGCCAGCTACACCCCAGCACCCTTCTTTTGTTGCGGTTGCTTCTGTTGTTGGTTTGTGTGAGAGAGGCTGTCATCCACAGTGCACACTGGCCTTGAACTCGTGCTATCATCCTGTCCCAGTTTCCCTAGTGCTAGGAATGGGAGCTTCCATATCTGTTTTTTTTTTTTTTTTTCCTTTCTGTGCACATAAAATTTCTATGGATCTTTGAGGGAGTTAGCTGTATAATTAAAACAGTCCTTGATTACAGTTATTCAATTCAAAATTAAATAAAAGTGGGCAAGTAATCATGGGTCTGAATCGTAAAACAGTAGAATGTGGCAGAGAACTAGAGCCCTGTCCTTTGAGTGACAACTTTGAGACATGAGGTCTCTTGGAAACTGCTGAGATGAGATAAATGTATGGGTACCACCTGACCGTGCCTTTGGAAATAAAAGCCAGCATGGGGAAACTAGTTCTCTCTCTTGTGACTGGTTCCCTGATCTCCACTTGGAGGGAAGCTGGAGGTAGGGGAGCAGAGAGGGTTAGGAATTTGGATTCCCCACAACCTGTGTGTACATGGGGTAAGGGAACTCATAAGTGACTTCTTTGAAACTGCACCGTGACAATATTAAGTGTTAAATCCCAGAATGAACACCGTGTGACCAATGTTCCATTGTACAATGCCCTGGTTAACTTTGAGCCATGTTGACTCCCTGGTGACTGACTAAAATCACGTCCAAATCACACACCAAAATTAACCAGACCCAAGGTCTACCCAATTCAGTGAATTCTATGCAGTTAGAAAGGGCACTTGGGACGGAAACTGTGAAATGTCTTACTATATTTTACACTTTCAGTATCGAATACATTTTGTGCACTTGCCCACTACTCAAACAGAAACTCCATGACAGAATTAGACTAGAAAAACAATTATCTTTTTATCCACTGCTATAATTGCATCCATTACCTACACTTGATCCTGGTTAACTTTGGTGTGCTTTGTTCTTATTTATTTTCAAGATTTTCAATAGTAAGGTTGTAGACTTAGAAAACAATAGCCAAATCATTCTGTTCACTGCAGCCAGCGAAGTCTCAGGTTGGCCGAGCACAGAAGATGTATGCTGCCATTCCTTAATCTATTTTCTGCTTTTAGAACATCCCCTAAGTTTGCTCCTTGATTTTATTGGCTGAAAACTATTTCTGTCCATTCTGGAAACCAGAGATGTCCAGTTGAGCCAAAGTCACTCTTCTGTGGTGTGGATGTCATTGTACCCATCGCATTCTGAGCTCTCCTCCTTCTCTGCCTTTGAGGTCCTTGGGAACAGAAATTTCTTCTTCTTCTTTTTTAAATAACATCTAGCATGGAGAAGGCTATCAACAAATATTGGGGAATTGTGAAAAAGTAGTTGTGGGAGGACAATGGAGGAGGCAAGATGACAACAAAAGGTAGAAGCTGTAACACATTTCCATACGGTGCAGGCCAAGTCCTTGGAGGCCATCACCCAAGCCAGCTAATACTGTGATCAGACACAGAAGGCAGTACCAACAAAGGCCCACCAGTGGTAATTAAACACAAAAAGATGGGTCAACTATGTAGCTAATTGGCATTTATTAACATGATACTAAATGCAATGAGTACTAATTGTTCTATGACCAAGGAATGTAACCCATTTACTTTTCTTTTCTTTAAAAAAGACTTATTCATTTTATTTTCTACCTGAGACTGGTGCCTACAGAGGTTAGACAAGGGTACCAGATCCCTGGAACTGGAGTTATGGATGGCTATAAAACGCGGAATTGAACTCAGGTTCTCTGCAAGAGCAGTAAGTGCTTTTAACTACTGAAACATCTCTCCAGCCACATATTTGGCTTTCTAAATAGCAGTAAATGAAGGTCTGCTCTTGACCACATAGTTGGATTTAACTCCAAATTTCATTATCATCTTATGGTTCACTCCTTCATGTGTCTGAGAGAGCAGAGTTCCCAGAGATTCAAAATCCAGGTTGATTAAGGACAGCCTCTGGCCATCGGCTCTGCAGGTTCACAGAGGGAGGTACATTTTTATCCCTTCATTCCCAAAGCACTAAGACCTTCAAAATGTCCCACAATGAGCCTTAGATATGGGCTGTGTCTCCTATGGTCAAACTTACTGTCAGGCTCCTAGACTCGCCTATGCAGCTGGAGGCATTGCCACCTGAGGGGCACTGTTAGCAATAGGTAGAGGTTCATCGACCCATTCATAGGACAAATTCTTGGGATTTCAAATGAGGGCATGATGTTAGGGGAGCTACCTATCTGAAGTCTTTCTGAGATCTAGATTCCCCAACTTGAAAGCTGTCCTACCAAACAGGCAGAGGAGAAGTGGCATTTTATTTTGTTTTGTTTTGTTCTTCCCTGAATCTGTCAACTATTTAAAAATTTTAATTGATACACATAAATGCAATGTATTTATGAGGGATCATGTTATACTTTATGTTTTTATGTATATATTGTGCTTTGTTTTTAAAAAAACAGGTGAATATCCATACCTCAAATCATTTCTTTGTGGAAAAGCCATTAAAATCCCTTTATTCTCAATACAGCCACCTACTATACAGCCAAGCACCAGAATGTTGTACTCCTACCTAGCTATAACGTGGGACCTGTTACACAACCTTTGCCATCTTCCCACTTCTCTAGTCTCCCCAGTCTCCAAGAAACACTGTTAGTCTTTCAACTGCTCTAAGAACAACTTTTGGAAGAGTCTAACCTGGAGTGAGCACACGTGGTACTCATCTTTCTACTCCTGGCTTATTTCACCTAATGGAATGACCTTTAGTTCCAACTGTATTGTTATTAATGATGCCGTCTCTCTCATCCCCTTTTATGCCTTAATTGTATTCCACTGTGCAAATTCACCATGCTTTCTCATTTGTCCAGATTAATTTTTTATTCACAGGTAGTAAAAATCCACTGATAGATGAAAAGTCTAATCAATCTTGGGTTGAGGTGATATAAGGAGAGAGAGAGAGAGAGAGAGAGAGAGAGAGAGAGAGAGAACAGGGAGTAACTAAAGATGAGGCATTTGGAAACACACACTCTGTATTTATACAGTCTGTTTACTATCTAGATGTTCTACTTCATAAAAGGTGGGTAACAAATAATATTCTTACAAATATTAAATTGATGCCACATGTATCTGGCCTTGAACTTACTATATAGGTTAGGCTAGCTTTGAACTCCTGATTCTTCTGCTTCCACCTCTCAAGTGCTGGACTGGTGCATTTTAATTCTCATTTTTTTGTTACTTGATATCTGATATGCTTTCCTAAGAAACCAAGTCAGAAGGGCAGAATAGAGAGAGCCCCCAGAGGCTTTTGACTGAAGGGAAGAAGGTTTGTCTAAGTTCCTCGCAGTTCCTCGAAAAACAGCTTATCCCATCAAACTATAAAGTTCATTTCTCCATTTAAAGTTTTGTCCAAAAGGTCAAATGTTAAATTCAGACAAGGACTTTATTTCCTGGGCCAGTGAATTTGGAGATCAGAGAGAGGGAGGAGCAGGAGAAGGAGTAAGGTGGGTTCCTAACTCTCTTTATTTAGATTCGGTCCCCATGAAAGACTAAGTGAATCAAGTTGGGGACTGTCTAGGTCTGTTGCTCGTCTGGGAGTGGAAGAGCAAGTCTCTCTGCCTTGGCCCAGCACCATTATGCAGAGTGGAGGCAGAGGGCATCCCAGAGTCCCAGATTTATTGAGTTATTCATGACAAACCTGATGGGAGTTGCTAAGTCTCCAAGTGGTCACCGTGGGAGGTAAGGTGTCTAATAACAAGGACGAGGTAAGGTTGAGGGCATCAGGACAAGAGACCACATAGCAGATGGCTGAAACTCAGCACTGGCAAAACCAGTGACAGCCCAGGGGAGGCCGTGGGGCACAGGGAGGGCTAGGCTCTGGCTGGGCTGAGCAACAGTGGCCTCAAGGACATCAGCTGTGTAAATCGGCAACAGACACCAGCTCACTGCTCAGGAAGCACTCAAGCCAGCCACCCCTGGTGGGTCTCTAACAGCCGCTTTGCAGCTGGTCCAGAGAACAGCAGGGCAATCTGAGGCCCAGGCACTCAGCTGCCCCGAGGTCACTGGGATGCTCCGTCCACCCACGCACGTCAAGCTACGCTTCTAGAGAAATCATAGAGAAAAGAAAAGCGTGGAGGGAGGAGCTGGGTCACGCCCACAAACTGCTGTAGTAGATGGCGCAGGATCCAAGGGCAGAGATTTGGTTATTGTTTTGCCAGTTCTTA